TCTTGTCTATGTTATGAAGCTGCGAATTGGTCATAGCTGTATTAACAGACTTCCTTAGTAGGATGCAGTCTTTTTTCTGGCTCTTATTGAATGATTTTAGAGGCCATTAAACGTTTATTTAATATACTATATTTTTAAAAAACAAGAGTCAGTTACATTTCATGTTTTCTTTGACATCTTTGTGACATATTTCTTTGAAAAGGTAGGTATCTTCCCTGCAGTTTAGACATCATCAAAAATACTTTTAAAAATGTGACACTATTCAAACTGAGCATTAAGCTCTGAATTTCCGTAATAAGTTCAACTCCAGTGACGCTCTTACTGCTGCTGATACAAAATGGGAGTGTGTGGGAGAGAGCACGGGGAGGGAGAACACAGAGTTCTTCGTGTCAATATTTTTGTGTATTTTTGTCACCACGCGTGGAATTGATACTGTCTCCCTATGGCGTGGAGGACTAACAGGCTATTAAGAATTGGGACCTCTAAATAATAAATGTACAGCATTTTATAGAATTTATGCATGTGTAATGCTGCAGCCCACCTAATCCTGTCTCAGGAGCTCACGAAACAGGCCTGAATCTTCAGCTTAGACCTAAGTATTTGAATTGATGCAGTTATGGTCTCAGCGCCCAGGCCGTGTTCTGTTTTGTGAAGAATGTGAGGTCACAGTCATTGACTCGGAATACTTGACGTGAAGGTCTCCTGAATGAAGAAATATGAGCATGTTAATATCTGATTTCTACTAGAAGAATTATCTTTCTCTCATTTATGGATTTCCAGAAATCTGTGCTAAAGATTTTTCAGCTGTGGACCTGAGGTCCTTTTCCGTAAGGGCTGAACTGAGCATACACGCTTGGTTTTCACTTTGGAAAATGCATAGCAGAACTAACTTACTGTGAGTTCAAGGAGTATGATCACCTTCCAAATACCAAAATATAGTTTTCAGCTAAAATCATTGTAGTTTTCATGAGCCTGAACTCTAGGTAATGTACTTTTCAGTTGAAATGATACTAGTATCTTTATGGGTTTTTTTTCTTTTCCCCTTCAACCTTATGATTTGTTTGGCGCAGAGGAACGGCCACCATTTCTTGGGTCGTGGCATTTTATAGCAGAACCTGAGTTCACGGTTCTGGGTTATGTTATTAAAGGTTAACAGTAAGTAGGAGTATTAAAAATGGATTTTTTCTTCTCCTGATCCAAAGGATTGCCTTTAACGATTGATTGTAATCACAGCGGCATGCTGTCAGCCAGGTCTGCCAGAGTCGGTTCCGGGGTGGAAAGGTTTCTGTGATGGGTGTGGTCCGTCAGGTGTCCTCGGCTTTGAGGTGTCCCTGAGGAGAGCTGGTGGGTGGGTTGAGGAAGGTGGTCCAGGGTCTGGAAAGGGGCTGTGAGAGTGGAGTGGTGCGGGCAGAGCGCGAGTGGCTGAGCTGCAGTGGAGGGAGGACAGAATCAGTGAAGTGATGTGTTGGGTCTCGCCTTGGGTGGGGGTTACTGGCTGAGAAGGCATCTGGGGTCAGGCAGCAGCGTGGGGCCAGCCAGTGTTTATGGGTCATTTCCAAGTTGTGATGTTGGGCTTCAGCTCTTCAGAGATTGTTGGACCTGTCCTGTTTTTACCGTGCCACCGTTTCCTGCTTCTACGTCAGTGACAGTGGCCCGTCTCCTGAGCTGGTTCTTCTCCTCCTCTGTCCTCCACATCTTGGGGAGCATCAGGGCTTGGTTTTCTTTGCTTCCCCATCTGTGCTCTCTCCTTGGGTGATCTGCTTCAGTTTTTGGTTTTAAATAGCATCTTCTGTATTTTCAGGCAACTCTCAAATTTTTGTCTCCAGGCTGGACCTCTCCCACACATCTCCCTGCCCACTTGAAATCATTAGTTGGGTGACAGTGGGCATTTCCACTTTAACTTCCCAAGACTGAACTCCTGTTCTTAATCACTAGATCCCGTTCCTCTCGGAGTGCCTGGCAGCTCCTTTCTGCATGCTCAGCACCCAGTCCTTGGAATCTTGGTACCTGTCTCCTTTGTCCCCTCTCTCTCCTCTTGCTCCCTCCACTCCCCCCACACCCTGCCCCTCCTATTCATCCAGAATTTAACTGCTGCTCCCCACCTCCAGTATTAGCATTTCTAGGCTAAGCCACCAAGGCCTGTCACTTTTTTAGTGCAGTAGTTTTCTAACTGGCTAATAACAGTGTATCAGTACTAGTTCACTAGTTGTGACTAGTGTACCATAATAATGTGAGATGTTAACAATAGGGGAAACTATCTTCGTAAATTTTCTGCAAATCTAAAAATGCTTCTAAAATTAAAAATTTATAGAAAAAAAAAAATCTCCCTTACTGCCCAACCCCCAACCAGTGTGCCTCAGTCTCAGTGGTCTCTCCTGTTTCTCTAACTCCTGCTTCTCTGCTGGAGGTGATTTGGGGCCCCAAGGAACATTGGCAGTGTCTAGAAACTTTTTTCGGATGAGGAGGTGTGGAGTGAGATGGATGAGATCCAACAGCCTTTTAGTCGGGTAGAGACCAGGATAATGCTAAACATCCTAACATGCATCCTGGGCCTTTCGAATTTAGGGTTTTCTCTTTCCCTTCAGGTTCCTGACCACAGTTGCTTGCCCCTCTTTGTTTTCCTGCTTACTGCCTCCTCATCAGCATGTGATACACTCTCTGCTTGTTTCTCACCAGGAAACGTGTCTTCCATGAGGCTTTGTGGCCAGTTTGGCTCACTTTTGTATCCCCAGCATCTAGAACTACTCCTAGCCCATAGCACGTGTTCATTACATAGTTGCTGAATGAATCAAATAATTGGGTGAGGGGAATGAATGATTAATACAGATACCATGGACCTGTGCTAAAAAATTCAGGTAGAAGAGTGAAAGTGGAGCGTGAACATTCCCCCTCAGCTGCCCATTCTCCAGAAGTTACCACTGTTGACAGTTTATTTTTTATCCGTCCAGAATTTTTCTGTTCATTTTTCAGCGCATTCATGTCTTACGCACACAATTCATCTCCTGTCCCTTTTTACAAACATAATTGGGGTCAGTTTCATTTTGCCAGTTAACATATCTGGATGGTCTCTACAGAGCAACATGTAGAGTGCTGTCTTATTCCTTTTAGTGGCTGTATAATATTTTATATGTAGAATATAGCAAAAACAATTGTTTACAGTAGAATCCTGGCATAATACCCTGTTGTAAAGTAGATAGCAGTAATAGATCTCATATAACAAAAGACAGTGCTTGTTAAACATCAGCTTTTTAAGTGTTTTCAAAAGCATTTTCTATACATATATTTATATACACATATATACACGTACACACACATAAAATTCCTAGTTTGTAAATGCCTCAGGATCAGGAAATGACCTTTAGTTCCACGTACTTTACATGATAGCAGATTCCCAATACCTGTAGATTAAGTTGAAGTTTTCCCTTGTTTTGATAAAATCATTGGATCATTACGTAATTAAAATTTCCCTGGATATTAGAACTGTTGACCAGTTGAAGAGATTGGGGAGAAAATCGTTTTCATACTTTGTTTAAATGATGATTGTTCTCCTGGAAGCTAAAAATCTATGTAATCTCCTGACTTTATTGGCCGAGGATATGGCAGGATAGCTAAGGAACAAGGTAGGGTGCCCAGCCGCAGCGTAATTCCGTATCCGTGAAGCTTCTTACTCCTTTGCGCGTATCAGGGCTTCTTTTTTTCCTCCTCCTAAAATGACTAATGGGGCAAAGTTGGCAGTGGTGCAGTTAAGATACTGTAAATTAATGGCGCTGTGCTAATTTCAGCTGGCCTTTGATCCCGCACTCCAGTCCGCTGCTGCTTTCACGTTTGGGTGGGGCTCCCATTCAGTGAGTCTTCATCTGAGAGTTACTTTGCCAAGGTGCAGTCTTGCCCTCCACTGAGTCCTGGGATGTTTTGTGAGGCTCTCTTGATTTGCACGGTGAATTTGTTGGCATGTAGAGGAGCAGTCGGTCTGAAAATAATTGTTCTGCTCACCCAGTAGGCCAGCCCAGTGGCCTTCCTGCCTTCCTGCGTTAAAGGCAGTCCTGTCTCAAATGCCCCCTTGCCTTCCATCTCACTCTCTGACCTTCCTACAGCGCCCGCCTTCTTGCCGCCTTGATCGGGCCCTCTCCATGTGTTTAGCTTAGAAGCTTTAGCTGTGTGCGTATGTGCATGTCTTGTTTTCAGTAGTGAACACGGGTCGTTGACAGCAGTGGTGAGAACACATTGACGTGGTTGGTGAAATTTGCTTTGCTGACTTAGGAAAAGTTCTCTTTGACATTAAGCTACTGGTTTCCCATTTGTAAGTGGACTCTTTTTTTGACTCATGTTGTTTTAAAAGTGACCTCAGTATCAAAATGATGTAATTATTTTATAATTATTTTAATACCCTTAAGTAGTTATGTAGTGCTAAGCAAGACAATAAACCCTTAAATTTTGTAGGGAGTGAAGTTAATTACTCTTATAAAGAAATAATTTCAGGATAAATTTTGAAAGGAGATTACATTATGTCATTATGGGAGGTCATAGGAAACCACCTTTTAGAGTTTTTGTCCTAAATTAATTGTTCAAAGCTTCTTGAGCTTAGGGTACTATAGTGGCATTAAATTTGTGAGGTTTGGGGCATTAAATTTATTGTGTATGAGTAAACCTAAAAAATGTTTGATGTCTCCCTTTGTTAACAATTTGTCTTGAAGATTTAAATATCAGAATACAACTTAGTTGTTAATAGTTGGCAGTCTTTGACGCGCCTTACGATTCTTTAACTTGAATCTAAGAATGAGAAAAAGATTCTCCTAAACCTAGTAATTCCAGACATGTTAGAGGTAATTGATACCTGGAAAACAGGGAAAAACCTAATAACTATTACATTTATTTACGCTTCATACAGATATACAATACTTTATTAAGATGTAAGGTCCCAGACAAACTAACAGAACAAATTTACATTGTTTGTTTCATTTCTTTGAGGTCTTGATTCTTACTTCTTTGTTCTGTTTTAGGTTCCTGAGGGATAAGCGATGGGGAGACCCCTGGTCTTGCTTCCGCTTCTTCTCCTCCTCCTCCAGCATTTTGACGATGGTGACGGAAGCCAAACACTTGCCCAGATGCCTCTCCAGTTTACACATTTCCAGTACAATGTCACGGTGCACGAGAACTCTGCAGCGAAAACCTATGTGGGGCATCCTGTGAAGATGGGTATTTACCTTACAGATCCATCTTGGGAGCTACGGTACAAAATTGTCTCCGGAGACAACGAAAACCTTTTCAAAGCTGAAGAGTACATTCTTGGGGACTTTTGCTTCTTAAGAATAAGGACCAAAGGAGGAAATACAGCTATTTTGAATAGAGAAGTGAAAGACCATTACACCCTGATAGTCAAAGCCATTGAAAAAAATACTAACGCTGAAGCCCGAGCAAAGGTCAGGGTACAAGTGCTGGATACAAATGACTTGAGACCTCTCTTCTCACCCACCTCCTACAGTGTTTCCTTGCCTGAAAACACAGCTATAAGGACCAGCATTGCAAGAGTCAGTGCCACGGATGCAGACATAGGAACCAATGGAGAGTTTTACTACAGTTTCAAAGACCGAACAGACATGTTTGCAATTCACCCAACCAGCGGTGTGGTAGTTTTAACTGGTAGACTCGATTATGCAGAGACCAGGCTTTATGAAATGGAGATTCTTGCTGTGGACCGTGGGATGAAACTGTACGGAAGCAGTGGTATCAGCAGCATGGCCAAGCTGACCGTCCACGTGGAGCAGGCCAACGGGTGTGCTCCTGTCATAACTGCGGTGACGCTGTCCCCGTCAGAGCTGGACAAGGACCCAACGTATGCCATCGTAACCGTGGAGGACTGCGATCAGGGTCCCAACGGGGAAATAGCTTCCTTAAGCATTGTGGCCGGCGACCTCCTTCAACAGTTTAGAACAGTGAGGTCCTCCCCGGGGAGCAAAGAATATAAAGTCAAAGCAGTGGGTGCCATCGACTGGGACAGTCATCCTTTTGGCTATAATCTGACACTGCAGGCTAAAGATAAAGGGACTCCTCCCCAGTTCTCTTCCGTAAAAGTCATTCGTGTTACTTCTCCTCAGTTCAAAGCCGGCCCGGTCAAGTTTGAAAAAGATGTTTATAGAGCGGAGATCAGTGAATTTGCTCCTTCCAATACACCTGTGGTCATGGTGAAAGTCACTCCTTGTTACTCTCATTTGAGGTATGTTTTTAAAAGTACACCCGGAAAAGCTAAATTCAGTTTAAATCCCAACACTGGTCTCATTTCCATTTTAGAACCAATTAAAAGACAGCAGGCATCCCATTTTGAACTCGAGGTAACAACAAGTGATAGAAGAGCCTCCACCAGAGTCTTGGTTAAAGTCTTAAGTGCGAATAGCAATCCCCCTGAATTTACCCAGACTGCTTACAAAGCCTCTTTTGATGAGAATGTGCCCATTGGGACGATGGTCTTGAGCGTGAGTGCGGTAGACCCTGACGAGGGTGAGAACGGGTATGTGACCTACAGCATTGCAAACTTAAATCACGTGCCGTTTGTCATTAACCATTTCACTGGTGCTGTGAGCACTTCAGAAGACTTGGACTACGAACTGATGCCTCGAATTTATACTCTGAGGATCCGAGCATCAGACTGGGGCTTGCCGTACCGCCGGGAAGTTGAAGTCCTTGCCACGGTGACTCTGAATAACTTGAATGACAACACACCCTTGTTTGAGAAAATCAACTGTGAGGGGACGATTCCCAGGGATCTAGGTGTCGGGGAGCAGATAACCACAGTCTCCGCCATCGATGCCGATGAACTTCAGTTGGTCCAATACCAGATTGAAGCTGGAAATGATCTAGATCTGTTTAGCTTAAACCCCAACTCTGGGGTGTTGTCCCTGAAGCAGTCGCTCCTGGATGGCGTGGGGACCAGGGTGTCCTTTCAGAGCCTGAGAATCACAGCTACCGATGGAGAAAATTTCGCCGCCCCGTTATACATCAACCTAACCGTGGCTGCCAGGCGCAAGCCAGTGCACTTGCAGTGTGAAGAGACCGGCGTTGCCAAAATGCTGGCGGAGAAGCTCCTGCAGGCAAATAAGTTACACAGTCAGGGAGAGGCCGAGGATATTTTCTTCGATTCCCACTCTGTCAACGCGCATGCGCCTCAGTTCAGAAGCACCCTTCCAACTGGCATTGAAGTAAAAGAAAACCATCGGGTGGGTTCCAACGTAATTTTCATGAATGCTACTGACCTTGACACTGGCTTCAATGGAAAACTGGTCTATGCTATTTCTGGAGGAAATGAGGACAGTTGCTTCATTATCGACATGGAAACTGGAGTGCTAAAAATTTTATCACCACTTGACCGTGAAACAACAGATAAGTACACCCTGAACATTACAGTCTCTGACCTTGGTATACCACAGAAGGCTGCTTGGCGTCTCCTAGACATCCGAGTTCTGGATGCCAATGATAATCCCCCAGAGTTTTTGCAGGAGAGCTATTTTGTTGAAGTGAGCGAGGACAAGGAGCTGAATAGTGAAATCATCCAGGTTGAAGCCACAGATAAAGATTTAGGGCCCAATGGACATGTGATCTACTCTATTCTGACAGACACAGATAAATTTTCCATTGACAGCATGACGGGAGTTGTTAAAATCGTGTACCCGTTGGATCGAGAAGTACAGCATGTGCATTACTTAAAGATTGAGGCCAGGGATCAAGCCCGAGAAGAGCCCCAGTTGTTTTCCACTGTGCTTTTGAAGGTATCCTTAGAGGATGTTAATGACAACCCACCTAGATTCATCCCCCCTAATTACCGTGTGAAAGTTCGAGAGGACCTTCCGGAAGGAACCATAATCATGTGGTTGGAGGCCTATGATCCTGACTTGGGCCAGTCTAGCCAAGTGAGATACAGTCTTCTGGACCATGGAGAAGGACACTTTGATGTGGATAAACTCAGCGGAGCGGTCAGAATTGTACACCATTTGGACTTTGAGAAGAAGCAAGTCTATAATCTCACCATGAGGGCCAAAGACAAAGGGAAGCCAGTTTCTCTGTCTTCCACTTGCTATGTTGAAGTGGAGGTCATTGATGTGAACGAGAACTTACACCCACCAGTGTTTTCCAGCTTCGTGGAGAAGGGTGTCGTGAAAGAAGATGTCCCTATTGGTTCCTCCATATTGACAGTATCTGCTCATGATGAGGACACAGGACGAGATGGGGAGATCCGCTATTCCATTAGAGATGGTTCTGGTGTTGGTGTTTTCAAAATAGATGAAGAAACAGGTAAATATGTTCTTACTACTCTGGTTTGCCTAAAGGAAATTTCTGCCTGGTGCTAGCTGCTTTATCGTTGATCTCTGTCAGGGTACACATCGCATGCTTTTTGTCCTTCTATAGGTGTCTCTCTGTGTAGTAAGCAATGAGTTTGGAATTAAGGAACCTGAATGACTTGGCATAAAATGAGTCAAACAAAAAAATGAAACAAAACAAAAAGAAACCAGGAGAAAAGTGTCATCATCACCACTGATACTGATCTTTTAGTTTGTGCTCTGTTTTATCAGAGGCCTGATTGTGGTTTTGCTGTAACTTTGAGAAACCCTTCCAGACTCTTTGCAGACTTAGAACAGCCCCTCGCACTACCCAGCACACCTCTCAGAGATTACTGTACCCCTAGGAGACAACACAGTGCACAGAGAACGCTCTGCTGAAACTTCCATGATGTGGGCTGCTATCCTTAGGAGGTCCTCCAGGTTTTTTTTGAGGATCAGAAGCAGGGCAGGGCCGTGTTGCATGGAGGGAACTTGGCTCTTCAGGGTGATCTTGACAAGTTAGTTATCTTCTCTGAAACATCTCTGAGATGGGCTTACTCAAAATGCCTGCAAGATGAGTGGGCGATAAAGTGAAATAACATGTGAAGTCTTCCCAGCACGTGTTAGAGAGTCTGTTCGTGTCTTAGAGATGGTAGGAATGCTTTGTTATGGGACTCTTCCACCTGGAGTAAGAGCCTAAAACCAGAATATTCAAGACAGCCAGTTTAGGCTAGAGTGTGTATTGTTTCGTACTTTGTGCAGATCTCTAATGTAGCTGCTTTTCACAGACACTAGAGTTATGGGTCCGTCTCCCTGATGGAGAGGGCTTGCTGTAGCAGAGTGCACAGATGGGGTGGCTTAAACCACAGACACTGGTGGTGTCACAGTTCAGGAGGCTAGAAGTCGGAGTTGGAGGTGTGGGCATGGTTTTCTTGGAGTCTTTTCTCCTTGGCTTGTCTTCTCCCTCTGTCTTCACATTGTCTTCCCTGTGTGTGTCTGGGTCCTGATCTCATATAAGGACACCAGTCCTGTTGGATTAGGGACCACTCTGATGACCTCATTTTATTTCTCTCTTAAGTTCTTATCTCCAAATCATGTTTTGAGGTACTGGGAATTGGGACTTGAACACATGAATTTTGGGGGACACAATCAGCCCCATACCACCTTCCAGGAGAGGCTTTTAGCGCCTGTGTTTTCTGTCCTTAGCCCTCGCAAGAAGTATCAGGCATGTAGAAACTGCTCATTAAGTGTTAAACTGACATATGAGTAAATTAATGATTATTTTGGCTTTGAACGTCCTGCCCTCTGAGAATGATAGTGGAAATAGAAGGAAACTGGGTAGTAATCACAGGGCTAGGTGAACTGCCCTAGATGGAGTTCAGTTTATTAATCTTGATGTTTCCTTTGTGAACATATCTGTTCTAAAAAAGATGCTTTTCTTAATACATTGAAAATTTAAGTTTATATTCAGTAATACCACAAGTAAATTCTTAACACCCACCCCAACAACCATGTGTACATCTAATATGTATAAAGTACAAGAACCATGTAATTATCCTAGAAATCAGTTATTTTGGAGGCTATTATATTTTAATGTACTTTTGCTTATTAAAGGGATTCTTTTTCTAATGAGTTATATACCACTCACCTGTGTTAGATGTATCTATGGATTATATGCCACTCATCTAAAATACCAGATTTTTATTTATTTTTCATTTTTTACTTATTCTTTTAGTTTCTAGAGATTTACTTTTTCTTTTTGGGTTTTTTTTTTTAACTTTTTAATTTCAGGGTAATGTATACAATACCACATTTTTATTTTTTTTTACATTATACTGCCATTTATAATCTTTAATCAGATTTCATGAGATTGTCAGCTGTATGATGGGGCCATGATTAGCTTTCTATAAACCACTTTGCTTTTATGTACAAATTAGTCTCCATGGCCTAAAAAATAAAACTGTATACTAGGCAAAGAATTTTATTAGCCTTGTTTCAAACATTATTCCCAGCTTCTTCAGCATAATTAGCTGCAAAGAATGAATTGTGTCTAAGCAAAAACTGAAAAGAGCTGCATGTCCGCGGGGCTTGGACTTTGGGGCTCTAGATTTTATTGGACCCCAGAACCACATTTTAAAAAGGAGTGCTCATACATGATAGCCTTTGTCAGTAACTTCCTCAGGTTCTGTTTTCTTTAGAAGTTGACTCCTTTCACTTTGCTTTGTTCTTAACTGGCACACGATCTGGAATGTCCCCGTTACCCTGGTCTCCAGCAGTAAGTGGGGCTTTGCCATCTGCAGGTTGTGTGGGCAGAGCGGCAGCCCGTCTTCTTGGACTGGTCAGACCATCTGCACCTAGTTGCTTTGAGATGCCGGGTAGTGTTTCTGTCTTGGCTATGTCTCAGCGTGGTTACCGCGAGTGTTTTCTGCGGGGTAGGCCTGCATGGCAGCAGTGGCCAGCCGCATCCCTGCTCCTTGGTTTCTGAGCACAGTCACTCCTTTCATACTGGAAATCGTGTTTCCCTCTAACTTCTTCAAGCAAAATGGAAGTTGTTTTTTTTTATTATCTGCTGTAGCTGTTCTGTGAACTACCTTCTTTTGACGAGCATGTCTTCTCCCACCGATGTGCATTTGTGTTCACTGTTTGGCCAGCTTCTCCTGGTTCACCATCATATCTCTCATCTTGTTGGAGCAGAGGTGGGACTGCAGGGGCAGGGGCAGGGGATGACATAGGGACAGGGGAGTAGGGTTGGTGCTCAGCGTGGGTCTCCAGTGGCCCAGCTGAGACGAGGTGCTCACCCCTGGGGTCAGAAGATGGCTGCTAGAGCCAGATTTTTAAATAATAGTTTAACTGACTGCTGTTGGTTATGCTGTTTTCTTTTAGTCACTCACCTAAAGAGAAATTTTTATTTATATATATATATATATATATATATATATATATATATATATATATATATATATCATACTATCCAGTATTAATTTGAATTTTCAGGTACATGCAAGATACCCAAAATTTAAAGAACTGCAGCTGAAACAATGACTATGTTTGTGAATTTCCTAAAGACCATTATTCCTACCTTTTTTTTTTCCTTTTTTCCTTTTTGCTCTTGAAAGCCTAAAAAGAATTGGTACAAGTTAAAGTTGAGACAGAAAATAGAACCATAGTCTTACTTTACATTACCTGATGAATTAAATTATGTGAGCACTGCCTTTTGGGTTTTTCTTTCAAGGGGAAATTTGTAAGTTTAGAAAATTGCTTTTTTTTTGTTGTTGCTTTTTATATGTGTATGTATTATTTTTTAAAGAGATCGAGAGCACATATGAACAGGGGCAAGGGAGAGAGAACCTCAAGCGGGTTCCATGCTCAGCACAGAGCTTGGTGTGGGGCTCCCCAAGCTGGAGTCAAGAGTTAGCCACTTAACCCACTGAGCTACCCAGGCACCACTTTTGTTGCTTTCTAAAGACTCATTTAGAAATGAGTATTTTTTTGCCTATAAATTTAAGAGATTGGAAAAAAGGGGAAACAACCAACCAAACAGGTCCGTGTTCTGAAATCTATAGTAGTTTTCAGAGCTGAATGGCGGTGTCAGAGCTTCCTGGTGGTACTTAGAGGGGGATGAGGGGAGGAAGTGAGACTGGGCAGTGGGGTTGGTGAGTATGTAAGAAACTGTTGAGTATCTCTATAAATACTGAGATTTGAAGGTGCAAAGTTGGAAATTCTTGGTCATCTATTGTGTAGTCTTTGACTTTACAGAAAAATGTACTTAATAACACAGTAGATTAATGTTTATCTGTTTTTCTGGAATTGAATCAAAATTATCGAGTAGTATTTACACATTGGCCTGTTACACATTGTAAGATGTGTTTTTGGCAATAGAATTATCAGCCCAAGTTATTTTAGAGACTCTTGGCAAGACAGTTGGTGTTGTGGTACAGAATTCTTTCAGGAAAAGTCAGTATGTTTGGTGCAGTAGAAATAGTAAAATTAGGTATGTTCTTTTCTGAGGGTTTGTCTAACGAATTCCTAGTGCAGGTCAAAAGTGTGGAGAGGTACCCGTCAGATGAAGAAAAGTAGAAGTTCAGGAACACAGGCGGGGGCGCCCATAGGACATGAAGTCAGCATGAGTTGAAGATGGCCTGGCTCAGGTCAGCTTTAATAGCAGCTTTCTAGAACTTCAGATGCTGTTTATTCCCTGTTTCTTTCATGCTGTTACTTTGTTTTCTAGTGTAACATGTTGTACTGGGCTAATTGCCAAGGGAGGGCCTGTGTAGGACCATGAACTTGCCCACTTAACTGTTTGCTTTTTGCCTTTGACTTAACTTTAAACAATAGTGTTGGTTGAGTAATATAAGTAAGTTTTCTGGGTATTGTACCTATTTCAGCATTGTCAAATAGGTGTATCATTTGCATTCTTTTCATAGAACAGAGAATATAATCAGCAATCTGAATTTAGTTCTTACTATTTTTATGGTCCTGTTCTTAAAAAAACTACTTAAATTTGAAACATCCCCTGAAAAGTAGTTCTTTAGTTTTTTTTTTTAACTAGAAATTCTATGAACAACCTAAAATATGTAGGCAAATGTTACACTCCTGTTAGCTCTGCATTTTGTACATATTTTGCTAATTGGCTTTGCAAGGAGGTAAATGGAATCCCTGCGTGGGGGTGATTGTCATTTGACTCCTCTGATAATCTCTCACTGTGTCACATGCTTTCCCTGGAGTGGCCTCTGGATGTTGGTGAACTGTCCTGACAAATCTGTGCCCACATGATGGCTCGTCTGTTTTGGGTTTGGAGGTTCGGTGAAAAACGATTTGGGAAATAGGTCTTGTTAGAGAGCCAATCTCCAGGGCTCTTATTAAAATCATCCCCTCCCTTTTGTCTCCTGAAAAATCTACAGGGTTGGTCATAAAGCAGATCTAACAAATGTTAGTAGAAGATCTCTGAAGCATGTGTAATTTCACATTTAGATT